AAACATATAAAAATTATTATCTGTATATGGTTTGTACGAGTATATAAAAATATTATGTTCAGCTCTTATCATAGTTCTGGTGTTAGTGCAGAAACGCACGTCATTTCTCGAAATACGGCAAAATTCCACGTCAATATAAAAAAAAAAACAGAAAAACTCCAATTCCTTTTTAATCTTTTCTTAACCGTTTACAGTAACTTGAACTTTTGTTGGCAGAACATTGAGTAACATATGACCTCTTTAAAAGAAATACGGCAAGAGACCTTATTTCAAAATGAGCTTGCGAGTCTTCTTATTTTTTTGCCGCACGACGTTTGATCCAAAAAGCCATCTTTTACAGCCGACAAGTCCGCACAGCGGTGCTGCTCTATCGTAAAAAAATGGAAAGTCATGTTGTCCCTAGCTTAGTTTTATATTTTTGTTTTCTTGCGTTGGGTCTCTTAACCCCCCTACTCCTATCCCTTTTCATGGGCCATCAGCTCAGAAAGGTCTGTTGGCGGACGGCATTGCTGTCGGCATTGGCGAAGTGTATGCATTACACATTACCGTGAAGCCCAAAGCCCTCACACGAGGAAAGTCTATCACTGCGAAAACAAGGCGACGGGAGTAGCATCTAGAAAGTCGGTATCTTGGTGTTCAACATTGTGGGACGACAAACAAACCACCTCACCCTTTCTAAGTATCCATGAGCACCCCATGGAGTGCACACTGAAGTTGATGACCACGAGGTTTTTTCTTTTTTTTCTTCGTTTGTTTCTTCGGTGTTTCCTAGTCAATTGATGCAGCGATGGTCAGGGTCATAGGTTTTTATATTGCTGTAAAATATATAATATATAAAAGTCATGTCCTTGGGAGAAGCACTCTGCCATACATACAGGGTATTTCGAGAAACGTGGGCCCAATCGTTCCTGTGAAAAGTACGTATCGCACAAAAAAATATTTGATATAAAATTGGTTACTGTCAAAAGGGAAATTCAGTCAAAAATAGACGTATTATAGTTGTGTTAGTAATTAATTACAGTAGTTAAATTTATAAATAATAAATTGAATGGTACCATTTCAATTACAAACGTGACGGGCATAATTAAAGCTATTAAATGCATCCGCATTATAAAAATATAAGTATTAAAAATACGTATTATAGTTGTGTTAGTAATTAATTACAGTAGTTAAATTTATAAATAATAAATTTAATGGCCCCATTTCAATTACAAACGTGACGGGCATAATTAAAACTATTAAATGCACCCGCATTATAAAAAATTTAAGGCATGCGCACTCCTAATGCATGCCTTTTTACGGCTTTCCGTAAAGTACACCCGATTTGCAAGTGTTTTCAGAAAAAATAGTGAGAGGGGGTCTTAGGAGGCTAGGCGAGGAAACACAGATATAAAGCTAAACCAGGGACACCGTAACTTTTTGCGCCCTGCGATAGAGCAGCACCGCCTTTGTCTATTCTAGAAAATGGATCTTTAGAGCGGACATCGTGCGGCCAAGCCCCTATAACGAAGACACGCTAGCTCAATTTTAGTGAAGGTTGGCGTTTTTCTCTTAAAGAGACCCTAGGTTACTCTATGTTTTGCAATCACAATTAGTTCAAGTCATTGTGAAGGTTAGAAAAAATAGTTTTTTTTTTATGTTGATCTACAATTCGAGAAGCAAGCTGCGTTTCTGCATTAATAACAGAACTACACTAATGGCTAAGCATAGTTTTTGATATATTCGTAAATCGAACTTAAAGATGATCATTTCTATATATTTTACGCCGTTTTATATGAAGTAGTTCGTTGGTAAATATTATGTGAATGTGTCTCTAAGACATGCTTGTTTGACGTGTTTCGTAGTTGTTGTTTTTTATTTTGCATATAAATATTTTATTGACTTTTTTATATTCTGTGCACATCTCGTAACCTTCCATAATATAAGTAGAGAATATTGTTACTACTTGCATGCTTCGGTGGGAAATTGGCGGCTCTGCAAAATACCATAGCGAAACTTTGGCAATCTATACGACTCGAGCTTCGAAATTTTATATCTCCAGAAGAGGATAGGCTACGGCGTTCGCATATATCTGAGTGTTCTTCGCAAGAGCATGGCTTTGGCATTATTTTGTTACAGAAATCTAAGAAACAATATAACCAAACCGTTATTGCACAGTCTGGCGTGGAACCACAGTTAATCAGTGCAATGCGTATTAATCGAATAGTGTAAGAAACAAAGTTCGCCATTTTAGCAAAAATGGTCCATTACTCAGCGAGAAAATGCAGACAAAGGTAGCGCATGCGTAAGGTTATTATGACATAACAGTGCAATCGAATTTCTCGCGCACTGCATGCAACGTGCATTGCACGCAAAGTGTTTCAATTTGCACTATGCAGCAAGTCATACGAAAAACAAGATGGCAAAGTTTATAAAATACTTGCGCACGACCTCTTCTCATTGGGTCAATACTTCGCCACCGCAGATATTTGTATTGTCTCCGAATATCATCTAGACTCTTCATTTCTAAAATAGCACAAAACCTTGCTACTTGTTATTATCTATAAGATCAACTGCTTAGTAAATAAGCCCGTGGTAAATCATATAAAAACAAACATGTTCCAATGACCGGTTGATTGACTTTTCAAGGCGGAAGTGCTGATAAGGATAAAATAAAACATTGCAATTTATTTGTTTCTTCGTCTGGTATGTTTCCGGACTATCCAATTCTTTTTTAAATGTTCTTTTGGTTTGTTGAATTCAAAATGGTTAATAAGTTACCAGAAACGATGAATGTGCAAACGGCGTAAAAGGGCGATGCTATATAAATAGACTAATGGAGTAAATATAAAGATCACACAATCGGTTTCGGTAAAATTTTAGATGGATCAAAATACATACACCAGTTATCACGATCAGAATAGAAGTGTCGTGCTTCCGTGTTGCCGCCGATAACGGATGACTGTCATTTTGTAAGATAAGTTGCTCACCGAAGTTGATCACCGTCGGTTTCAAGTGCACCGCGTGACAAGAACACATGAGCCCATCGGGTCACTCAAAACTGAACCGTCCCGCCAAGGTGTCGTCACAACTGGCAAAGGGAACACGTCGTGCCGGCAGAAGTCAGGTTGGGTCACCTCAGGACGTGCGGGTCTGGACGCCTCTCATCGAATTGGGTGTGGTCCGGTAGACGTCCATGGTCTAGTTGGGTCTGGAGTTGTTGGGTCCGATGTTTGTGAACACCTTTCAGCCGGGATGTTCATGAATCACCTGAGAAAGATGAATAAATGTGTATGGTTTGGTCAACCTTATAAGAAACTCAAAAAGAATCCTTCACGTCACATCCCATATGCTTTAGAAGCATCAAATCTTATATGTCAGTGGTCGGTTTTGCTGCAGGTACCTGCTATTTGGCCTGCTCGTATTCACAGTTCGCGACCTACGCTGAGTGTGTCCATAAACAATATATGGAGATGGTTGACAGATTTATTACAGTGTGGCTGATAATTGAAGAATGCCTTGGGATCGGTCCGCGGAAAGATACTAAAAATAATTTGGGAGACTTTACCATCGCGGATGCAGTAAGTGTTGCAGTTACGTCTCTAGATTGACTTTCAAAGACGCTTTAGACCCCCCTCCCCTTTCCAAAAAAAAAAAAAAAGGTTTGTCGATGTAATACAACACAACAACAAAACAAAACGACAACAAGCTTTCTTGCTAAGAAGTGACTTCAACGTTCAATGCATGTCGTTAAGAATACTCTATTATACTCAAAGATTTGAGAACCGGAGTCATCATGCACACATGTCTGTCGTACGCAATTTCGCACAAGAGTATGCTAATTATGGTCGCTTAAACCTCTATGGTCACCGAGGCCTTCGGAAACGCGGGGTGCGGCGAGCGTCTCAATATCCCACCTCAGCCAATGAGATTGCAGCATTGGCCGATTAGAAGGCCGAACAACCAATCACAAAGCAAGCAGCGTACATATATTGACCATGCTATGCGTTTCCGTAAGTGGTCAGTGACTATAGTAGGATCTTTCATACACTGCCCCTGTGACGGAAGTGAACGTTCCGTGAATCTTCTCAGAACATTCTCAAGAACGATAACTGGTTGGAACAGCCTACCACAAGAATTAACAACAGCAAATACACTAACCTTGTTTGAAAAAAGCATTCTGAACATTTTTCAATGATATCTATCGAATCCTTAGTATTTCCTATTCACGTATAATCATGAGAAAATTGTGATGTTATTGTGTGATGTCTTTGCTTCGTCGCTGTTTGACGATTTATAAATTGAATGTCAAGCGCTATTTTTGTATGTTTGAATTGTTGTTGATACAGTGTCCTTGTTACTTTTTGTATTTGGTCATATGTATTCTCGTGCCTTGTGCACCCCTGTAACAACCCTAACGGGTTAACAGTATACCTAAATAAATAAAAATAAAATAAATAATAAATAAAAACATCACCCTGGTGACTGCCGCTACCATCGTTGAAGTCCCATAGCAGTCCGAGGGGCCAGACGGGCGTGAGAAGCGTTGCTCAGGTGCCAAGGTTCACCGAACGGAACGAGCTCCGAACCCGGGGATGTAGAGCTCGGCTCCCGAACACCACTCCGAGGGCGTTGTTGGCGGGAGGGGAAGCACACTCGGGGGAACCAGCACCGTTGACTGACAGTCCGCAGCGTCGAAACTTCGGGCTCCCCAACACTCCCGGTTCCCGGGCTGCCTAGAACCCCTCTCATACATCGAAAAGCCACGCCCCCTTCGGGGTTCAAGCTCCCCTCCAGGGCGCACGGACCGCGTGGGTGGGGCGTCCCCACGGCAACACTCCGGGACCGACCAATGGCCGTCCGGACGGGACTGTTGGGCGGGTTCCCGAGTACGGCGTCGTCGGGGCCGCTTTTATAAGGCTCGGGTCGGAGGCATTGGGCGCGCTAACTTCGTTAGTCATTGCTCGTTAGTCAGGCCCGAAGGCACGCTGGACGGGAGGTTCCAGCTGTGGAGCAGCGCCATGGCGGCCGCCGCGGCCGCCGTGGCCGCCGAGGACCCCCGGCTGCAGGGCGAGCCCATGGCCACGAGTCCGCAGGATTGCGGAGACAAGCGAAAGCAGGATGTCCTCGGAGGGTCCCTGTACGCGCTCCAGGAGCCGCTGCGGGGACAGCGGGACGCCGGACACGGTGAGCACTCGACGGCCATCTTGTCCGCGATCGATGCCCGTAAGGGCCCGTAATGCCATTAGGCCCATCAATGCCATTGCACGCGGCTAACGAGCTCCCGTACGGAGGCGGGACCCGCGGAACGCCTGCCCCGTGCCGCGTGGCCCACGACACGGACACCCGACGGTGCTTGGACGAGACGTTCACAGGAGCGTCCGCGATCCTCCGGAATACCGCCCGGTCGCTGAACCCACCGAGGCGCTCGCACGGGCCGACGAACCACCTTCCTAAAAAAGATCGCAATGACGACTCTCCCGATGGGAAAATCTCCCCAACCCCCGTGCAAGACATCTCTGGAGTACCGAGAACGCGCCCCGTTCGACGGCCCAGCTCTGCCGCATCGGCTACGTGTGAGTGGCGCTAAGTGTGGTTCGCCGTGTCCTGCCCGCCACCGGCTAGACTGTGATGCCGCCATGGCTGCCTGTGACGTCACGCCACAACTCCACAAACGGGATGCTATGGCGTCTTTCTCCTTGCGGCGTTCCTATGCGGCCCTCGCGATGCCTCCTAGACGCAGAGGGTTCCCCGGTCGCCGCCATCTTGGACGGATCGATTCCCTCAGTTGCGTGGGCAACCGTCGGCCCCACCCTTCTCAGGGAACTTGTGTACGGCACCTCTTTGTGCATCTGCAAACCAGTTGTGAGACCCAAACCAGTATCAGGACACGCCGAAGCAACGAGCCAATATGTCTATCTAAGAAGCATCGTGGTTTGGGTAGCTCAAAAAAGCGTCCACGAATACCGACGTCTGTGCGGTGATGTTCGACGCAGGCTCTGGAAGAAAATTTCAGTATACTGTGTGATCTAGAAAGATGCACGGTTCTCGGATAGCACTTCTTGCAAACATTTGAATCTCTGGGTACGCAGATAGCTATACGTTCGCTCGCCTTTGCTATGTACCATCAAAAATTGGGCAGGAAAGTTAATTGTATTGATCCCGATTTTCCACGAGCGGAATAGTAGCTGTGTTGTTTACACAGGCATTTATCTGCATGCGTGGCTGGTATGGCTTCTTTTCAATGCACGAATGTCATGATAACAGAAAATTTCTCTAGCTCATGTGAGATCTGGGTTGGCTTGCAACAATCGAGGCTGGTTCACACACCTCCGTTGGTTGCATTTTAAGGTTGGTTCACAAATCTCCAACGATTGCGTTCATAGCCAAAACCACAGAAATGACCAGAACACAGGAATAAGCATAATTGCTTAGCGAAGCTACCTCTCGCATTGCATGCCCCGTTGTGTGCGGCGAACACTTGGCTTTTGCTGTCATTTCGGTTGCTGACACCAGTCGTGACCGCAATCACAAGTAGACAGCAACCCTACATACATCGCAGACAACACGAGTACCACGTATTACACCGCACCGACATATGCACAAACACAACAACGACACTGTGCCCGACACTTCCAACTCAACATGCTTTTCTCCCCGCGGCGTATGTAAGCTCTTTGGTCGCTGGCCGTTACAGACTTATAGAAGACACAAAACACGGCGCAATGGACAGCCGTATGTAAGAACTCTTTGCATTTAAAAAGTATGGAGGCAAAATCTATATTGCTAGTCCGCTGCGAAAAATAACGATGTATTTACAATAAACCTTAAACCGGTCATGCAAAAGCTCACATTTTTTATTTTTTTTTTTATTTTCATGCTTGGCCAGTGTTATGAGCAGTCCGACTAGCTTGAATAAAATAGAAAAACAAATTATTGGGATTTCATCATTATGTATTCAATAATAAATGGAAATGATCCTTGCGCAAAGCATTTTTTATATATCCTTGTGAAGGACATCCGCCCAACACTTCATGCCCGCTAGTTGCAGTACGGGAGCAGACGCCTTCCCTTTTGGGGCATTTTGATGCAGTTTGTTGTCGTATGCCGTGCAGGGGCGGATCCAGACTTCCATTTTAGGGGGGGGGGGGGGGGCGGTTCCTCCGTGTAAAACGGCGGCGGGGGGGGGGGGGGGGGGGGGGAGGGGGGAGTGTTTATATTTTTTGTGGAGTTATCGTTTTTACTAAACTCTGATAACATAATATAGATCTTGAGAGCTTTTGTATCGGTTTACCTGTCGGGGATGAGCTCTTTGAATTGAAACCTTTCGGGTGACCACGCTAGAGGTAAGTATCTCAAAAATTGTGGTGACACTATCCTTTCTGAAACTTGGGTTTCAGACCGACACTACGTGAGCAATCGATTTAGGGCAGCTTAAAGACATTGCCTTGGCAGACATTCTGGTTGGAGCTAGTGCTCAACTGCTGCGGCAACGGGAAGAGCGGCTTAAATCAGCGGAGCGAGTACGTTGCAAACAAGCGACAAAAATGGCCCGGTGGCTTCGACGCTGCTCGCGGCGTCAAAACACTGATGACGCAGCGAGCGTAACTAACGCTGCCAGGCAAGTTCGTCGGTTGTTCGCCGTATATTTGGAATGTCCAGAGCTCAGCACATGCGGCATTGCCAACCCAAACTCGTGTTTTCACGTGTTCTGGAGGCAACTCGAGAGAACGAAAGCGAATAATTGTTGAATATTTTTGAAAGCATGTTGCAGTTCGGCAACTATAACTTTTGAACTTAGACAAGACCTTAAACCAGCAATTGATCCTTCGAAATTATATTCAATTGCACTTCGTCTGGATATTTTCTGTATCAAAGGAACACTTACTTGTTTCTGGGTAGTTAGCTCATTCGTCAGGGTCGAGAGGACAGGTGCAGAGATATGATAGGGCAGAGCGGTTGTAAGGTCGGCGAATCTCAACTGGGCTAAAGGCCGATCACGACTGGAGCATGGATGTTTGGGAGTCGGTGTTCACTCGAACGGGCACAGGCACTGTCTATTATTTTATGTATAGCCGCATCTTTGAAAGGGTCTCGTTTTCCCCAAGTCCGTTCGACACACACATATTCGCTCCTGCAAAGCCGCGCGAAAGCTCTGCCGTCAATCCACGGAAGCCGCGTTTAACTGGAAAAGAAGGCGCCAAGGGAAGACAAGGGGTAGCGGGCGCCCTTCCTAAAATATGTCCCGCCACCCTAAGTTGAAACGGCATTGTGTACAAATAAATGCCTACGGCGTCGGCTTGAGGACCCCGTGTAAGCAGCCTCCAGCCTTTAGAGTGCTCGTAGCCTTTATCTTTCTTTTATTAGCTTCCCGCCAAGAGAAGTCGTGCCGCAGGCAGTGTGAAGCCCATTAGAGGAAACATCCTCCCCTTCTGGCGCTCGTCGGCTTCTTTCTGTATTCCGCGCTGCGGCGCTGATCCTCAGTGAGGGATGAAGGCGAGGGCGAAAGCGGGCTTATGTTTAAGCCAAGGTCGTGGGGAAGTCCGGAGCGTCTTCAGGAGAAGCTCATACCCAGACTACACTGTACCCAGAGCATTTGCTTCCTCTCTCGGTTGAGAAGAAAAGCAATTAGTCTCCTGGTTGTACAGGCTGCATCCCCCCCCCCCCCTGGAATGTCTCCTCCCGGTACGTCTCCTCCGCACTTCCCTTGGCAATGAGCACACCGTGCCAATAAGATACTTTTAGTGAGCCCGTGGGCGACAGCATCTCAAAGCAAGCCAAAAAAGACATGCCAAAAGACAAGCCCAGAACCACGAAGAGACCATCAAACGAAAAGTGATGAAAAGGAGGCCGCTAGAGAGGAAGGATACTCCGCCACCCCTGAGGAAGGCTCCTTGCCGTCTGCGTTTGGGAGCTTTCAGGGCACAAAATTTTCGCAGACAACCCCCAAAGAGAGAGAGGGAGACAGAGAGAAAGAGAAAGGGGACTAGATAAGTTGAAGGTATTTTCCCCCCGTGCTCGACGTGCTGGTCTTGTTTGGAAGTGTGCCTGCAGTCGAGGACCCTGATATTTGGTGCGCCTCCCCACTGTCTCTCCACTTCGAAACTCCTGGCGCCGTCCCTGTCGGGAAGACGTACCGTGACCTTGACGGAGATAAACCCCACTTTGGAAGCGCCCAGCAGGCGCGTCCACCCACCGTTGTTTTAATCGTTTGTTTCTCGCGTCGATTGCTTACGTTTTTTCTTCGAGCTGACGAAGAACCCCGGGGGGGGGGGGGGGTTGCCTGGCGAGGCGTTTGGGGGGGGGGGGGCCATCGCCCCCACCGCCCCCCCCCCTTGGATCCGCCACTGATGCCGTGTCGGTGTTGAGTAGAGCGGAGGGGCTTGGGAGTTTGTGTCCGGTGTCACTCGTAATCACTGATGTGGCGCTGGTGCTTTTTTAGAGCGCAGCTCTTAGGGGCCCGTTTCCAGCTTGAGCGGCGTCGCCGTCGGCGTAACCGCGAGGTCACGTGACCCACCCAGGTCACGTGACACCCCTAGGTCACGTGACCTTTGGGGGTCACGTGACCTGAAGGGGTCACATGACCTTAGGGGGTCACGTGACCTCAAGGGGGTCACGTGATCTCAAGGGGGTCACGTGACTTTAGGGGGTCACGTGACCTCGGGGGGTCACGTGACCCCTTAGGCCTGAGGTCACGTGACCCCCTGAAATCACGTGACTTCTGGGGGTCACGTGACCCACCCCCTGAGGTCACGTGATCCCCTGGTCACGTGACCTGGGTGGGTCACGTGATCTAAGGGGTCACGTGACCCACCCAGGTCATGTGACACCCCTAGGGCACGTGACCTCAAGGAGTCACCTATCCCTCAGTACGCTTCCATCTTCCTCCTCAAGAGCTGCGCTCTAACCGGCGTTACAGGGAATTGTAAACGGCTTTCATTTTTTTATTCTTTTAATCCGTCATTACCCCGAACCTTGAAGATTCACGGGCCCGTGGCACTGTATTATGCTGAATCGCGAGCTCCTTCTCTGTTGACGTCGTTTTCCTGGTACCACTCGTGGATACTGCAAGTGTTTAAACAGTGTGCACCGTCTCGCCTACATCCCCGGTGATGTATTTCACCTGTTGAAACGTATTGCTTCCGTCATTTTGGAGTACGCAAGGTAGTTACCTCGCTGCTCTGGTT